TGCGCATACGCCATTCCCATCGTTGGTTGATTGCCGTGCATCACCTTAAACAATCCCATTATATATTCAAGCGGTAAAAAGCTACACCTTCTGAGTGCCATTTTTAGGCGTTTTTTGCATCTATGCAATGCAAAAACACATACTATCGAGGAGTTGTTTGTGTGTGTCTGTGTGTTCGCCGATTTTTCATCTCGGGACCTACAAAAGCTACAAGACTGAAACTTCGAGAGCTTAATCTACATGCAAGTACGGGCCCCCATCCCCAAATGGGCACTTTTACCCACGTGGTCCTCAAGTGCGGACCGTGAAAGTTTTTTGTGGGTAAGCTGCTAACTCGAGAACCAGGATACTAGAACGCTGAAGTTTTAAGGTATTTTCTAACAACCCTAGTGGCCACTCTCAATTCTCTCAGCTAGAAGAATCTGCTGGAAGAACCAATGCCGCTGGTGATAAAAAGCTGCGAGGAACTATGCAAAAAAACGCATTTTCGTGCCAGCAGCCGATGCGCTGGCCAATTATTTCATATTTCAGCAAAAGCCAAATGTTGAAAATTCGCTGACCTGTGGCGGCATAACTGCAGGCCTATCAACCGTATGGGCATTGACTGAAGGCACACGACTATTCATATGCTGCTCCATCATAAACTGCTGCTGCTGAGCTGCAGCTGCTGCCTGTTGAGCCATTTCTGCTTCTTTCAGCTGTTTCTTTGTTGGTCGCTTCCTCTTTTTGGGAGGTGCAGGAGCAATCGTAGCTCCAACATCCTAAAAAAGAAAAAAATTTTAAAAGTAGTAAGACAAATCCCAGCTTGTCCAAAACAGATGAAACACAATCAAAAATATTTGCGTGACGAAAAAGCAGAATATTCGTGGGACAAAATGACCGGAAATGTTTATGAAATTCTTAGAAAACTTATGCAATATGATAATCCTGACTGCAATATACCAGAAAAACGATGAATTAAATGCTATGTGAAAAAATTTTGTCAAATGTGAGCTTCTTGCCAATGTTGAACACCAACTAGGAGTAAAAAAAAAACATTCTACAATTGCTGCCCGTACTATTCACGGACCAGCAGAACTCCGAAAGATTACATCAAGAGAATTCTGAGCACCATAAAATAGGGCAGACTCAGTCTAGATGTGCTTGCTAAACTTTCCATTTAAAAAAACCAAAGACAGAGGTGTAAAAGTAAAGAGCTAAAGAACAGCAGAACCTAGAAAAGCATCGGATGGAACCTCTAATGGTCGAAAAAGTCAGCATCGACAAGACCGTGAAATTCGCCGACGATCAGCTATGAAGTGTTCGTGCATCAAAATCTCAAACCTGTTCCACAGCAACTGCTTGATGGTACTGAACAGGCATAGGTTGGCCAGGAAGCCTGGGCTGCGTCTGCTGGACATGGACGTAGTGTGGCCGCATCACTTGTCCTTGCTGGTGAGCATAAACAACAGGCTGCTGCTGCTGCTGCGGCTGTTGCTGCTGCTGCGGTGGCAGTGGCGCCATCTGTCCTCGAACAGCAAAGCCCTCAAACAAAACAACTTCATACTCATAAAAGTTGCGGATGCAAACATGTTAAACCACAGAAGTTGATCAGGCAACGCTGGCTATGATGGAGAGAGCGGTGGAACAAAGGGGCGCCTGGTGTAGGCCTTCGTTACCAATATAAACAATCAGACTTTCCGTTAGAGGGTGGCGTAAAGGAAATCACTGTGGGCACCCGAGAAAGCAAAACAAGATAGTCAACGCATGTTGTTCGCTCTGTGGGAATCCGCTAATATTGTACATCAGTGGGCAGTACCTATAAGGAAACAGACGACCGCTGGACCGAAAGGTCTGCAACAGGTGCCCACGATGTGTTGTGCATCACAATAACATCATAAATAAGGTATCCCCATGTCGATTGTCCTGACGGTTTTGGTATTCTGGGTGTATTAAGTATTTCTCCGTAAAGCACGTAAAGTTTCAGACCGCCTCAAATCAGGTTTATGGTGCCCCACAGAACCATAATCAGTCCAAAAGATCCAGAAAAAAAATATGCGTCTTAAGGATTCTGAAGACCCAACAAACAATTTCAAGAAATCCTGCAAAAAAAATATGCAAAAGAAAGCCGCCTCAACAAAGCACGTGCATGGAATCAGCCAACTGAAAGGAAAGGACGTGGAACAATTGTCAAATGGCTGACAATAAAAATTAAAATTTTTTGAACGACTCGCCGGCTTTCTCAAAAAGTTGTGAAATTATAAAATTTGCTCAGTTAGAAGAATCTGATCGATACTGAAACAAGCAAAAATTCGGGTAAATGCAAAATTTGGCCACAGAACTAATCAACGCATAAGAGCCGATCGGACAATCCGTGGAATGTAGAGGCTTGCCATTTCAAGCACAGTTTGCTCCAATTTTTCCAGAAATGTGAAGGCGAAGGGAAAAATGTGATCGAAAATCATTTCTCAAGCATTTTCAAAGCAATAAACTTAGCACATATGAGAAAATATGCAATAAATTCGGTTTTTATTTTTTTGGAGCAAAGATCTAACACTAAAACCTTTATCTAACACTAGATCTAACACCTTTATCTAACGCTTTTTTTGAAATACGACTATCAAACAGCTTAAGTATACACCGAAAAAATAAAAC